TATATATGATTTTTATGTTTTTATAGGGTATAGTTATTTCCACCATAAAAAATGTTAAGGTCAGGAGGTCTATTCTCTTGTAGGTGGGAATGAAATAGCATATTTTTAGCAAGGAGTGATTTGTAATTTTGTATAAAGCTATGTATGCCGTGTAGGATATATCTTGTATTCTCAATAAATAAATAAATGTTTTTTTATTGATAAAACTTTTTTAAAACAGCTAAAATTTTAATTTTTAAGTAGTGTTTGAAAATATCAATATATTAATTAATATATAATAATGAAAAGTGTGTCTACTAATTGATATATATATATATATATATTAGAATCTTGTGTTAGAGTCCACCTTATAACGAACTGTAACATCAAAACCCTTGATAGAAGGAGAAAAAAGTCAAATATCAAAAGACTTTACACCTTTGAATAGTGATGATGGTTACAATCCACTACAAACGAAGTATAACACAGTTATATATATATATATATATATATAATAACAAAAAGTTTCCGCCACACCTCAATACTGACTTTCTATTACGCGGTTTTAATTTTAGCCTGGCCCGGACTGCTCGCTTGCTGGCCCTGATTGATTTCTTTAGTTTATAATTTTATATATATGAGTATATATCATTTCCATGTTTGCTTAGTTAGATTCATGCGTTTTAGATAGGCTTAATTTAATTTTTAGTCTATTAACTATCATCTTGATTTTGTTTTAGTCTATAAACTATGTTTTATTTCTAAGTGGTCTATTAACTTTTAGATTCATTTCAATTTCTTCTACTTGATCAAAGATAACGGAAAACTTTCAGAGAACAGTTAGTCTTCTAACTATATTTTTTTTTATCTTTTAGTCCTTAAATTTATATTTGTTATAAAAATATATTTTTTACTTAAAATTATTATTTATAGGTTATGATACCAGATTTTCATACAAGTTTTCCTATTTTTTTAATTTGGTATCAGAGTCTGAAAGTTAATAGACCACTTAAAAATAAAATATAGTTTCTAGAGTAAAATGAAATCAAGGTGATAGTTAATAGACTAAAAATTGAATTAAGCCCTTTAGATATTATAGTATTGTGTTTCATTTCTCTTATTCGATGGGGGATGTACTGCTTGTGCATTTTA